GGGTTTAAGGTTTTATGTTTAGGGGCTGTGTACAAAGAGTATGATAGGCCTGGAAGACAACAACAAGCTGTTTTCAGGCCCAAACCACTCCAACCTTCAAACCTCACAACCCAAAACTTACTGGCGGCTCGTAGGGAAAAACGGGGATACAATTCCTATATCATTCCCTATGTAGTCTATTCCCTTCTTCCATACTGACCGACAAGAAGAAGCATCTGCATGAAATCAGCCGGAGCAACTTATGCTCCAACACTGTACCATCCGTGCCAAAGGTGTCCTGTTGCAGACGTTTAGGGTTTAGGGTTTAGGGTTGTCAGGAGTGCAAGTCTGCATGACAACAGAAGAGTAGGGTCTCACTTTTGTTGCACCCAGGTGTATCAAGACTTCCTTTTTCGAGGACCGCCAAAAACGGGACCCCTCGTTACTGTTGGAAACCCCATCTGCTGGGCTTCTGCTGGCCCCTAGGCCTAGATCTCATGCAGCGCATGCAGCCAAACCCTGATTTCTGATGCGAATAATGTTAACATGGTCATTCTCCTTAGATGTTAATGAAAAACCCTGAACCCTAATCCCCAAACCCTAAACCCTCAACCCTGGGCCTAAGTTCTTTCCCGCTACGGTCCAGCAGCCATGTTTTGTCAGCTGGAGGCATGGCATGCTTGGACTTGCCACCATGGACCTCAGGATCCGAGCTTAGGGTTTAAAAGAACTTTAAGATTTGGGGTCTAAAAGGATTCTAATAGGATCTAGGGGTTTAGGGTTTAGGGTCCAACAGAGTTTAAGGTTCAACGTCTAAAGGGTTTATATAAGGTCTTGAGTTTGCTGGGATTAGGGTCTAGGGTACCGACGGAAAAATGCTCCGTGTACAGTACGCAGATCAGGTCCCAAAAAACACCGAAGCTAAGCCCTAAACCTGAAACGGATTCAAACCCTGAATAATGATCACCCATGCTGTTTTGCGGTCCATTCAGGTATACTATACCGTACACCTGAAGTGATTTGGAGCCTCTGGGGAAGTTCTTAAGACTGGATCAAAACACCTCAGAAAGACTAGCTTTCTAAGGATACCAGTTTGGAATTCTTACCCGCTACTAGAACCTGACAGGGATACTGCATGAGGATCCAGGCCCTTCCAGACGCATGTGGATATAGGCTCCATATGATATTATGTACCAACTCACGGGTTCAACTTTGGGGATGTTAACCGTGAAATTCCTGGCCTCAAGCAAAGCCATCAGAATAAGTCTGCCAACCGCGCAGTTAAACTATGACTCCAGCTACAGTAAGCGGTTCAGGCTTCCTTGTGGATAAAATCGTGCTGCTCCCTGTGGAGCCCGCGTCTGCAGACCACAGTCAATTCTGTCAACCTCTATATATGAGCCATAGGTTTAACTCCTCGTATCTCCCTTCATAACCCCTAAAGTACAATAATGCTACCCAATGTAATCCCCTATGTAACCCCCCTTCAAGGAGTTTAGACTATAGCTTATATGGAGATTTCCCGAAGTTAGGGTACCATTTCGGGGATTCCCGATAATGAGGATCATACTATTTTGGGAGTCTACATGAGGTTCCCCTAATTGTTGGAAACCACCATAATGTGAATGGAGGAGAGCGAGTAGAGAGTAGCTGGTATGGTGACAGAATAAATATGCCCACAAGACAGCGCTGGAAGCTGGCTCCTTATACCTCATAACTACATGGCACTTAGGACCCCTGCTAAGGGGTTAACCGTCAGGTACCTATAATAGGAATATAAGGGAATCCCAAAGGGTTCAGGGTCTAAGGTCCAAGCTAAGTCCCAAGGAGATAACAAAGATCGTGGGGTCTTGCTGGTAAGGGCAAACGTATTTAAAGACACCCACTTTCTGGCAGTGACAGATGCACGGTTTCGCTCCGCAAACCCTAAGAAGCAGTTTTGAGAAACCTGCATTTGTTGGTAGCTGTGTTCTTGGAGCCCGACTCCGTCGTAGTCAGTGAAAACAAGGTCGTTCTTCTGGTATAGATCTCACGAGCCGTGGCTTGCCAGAGCTTAGGACTAGGACTGCGGAACGCCAGAGGCTATTGGAGTTGATTGAGCGAGCCAGGAAGGAAGGGTAATTGGGACCGTATGAGCTTTTGGGACTCCGGGAGCTGGAGACTAGGTAGTTCATGATGGCGAAAGATTACAAGTGACCGCGATATGGGAGGTAGGGGTCTTGGGTGTTGGAGATGAAAAACATCCTGGATTCTCAAAGTCATGGGAGTCATGGAACCTGGTAGTTAGGGAGGTTTTCAGCCATTCCGTTTGAATAAGCTTAAGGCCTTTGTACACTCCAGCTATACAAAGGAATGTGGGTGGGCGCTGCTATTGATGAGCACAGCTAATACATTGTAGTGTAGCCTGTTCGGGGTTTGGGAGGCTTGCAGCAAGCCTAGGAGCATTGCATCTATCCTTGATACTCCTGTAGTTGACCTTGCATGATTCTACGAAAATGTGGGTAAGCTTCCTGGCGGGGTGGGCGGGTCAGTAGGGCATGTGAATATATTATATATAGACTATATGGGGATTATATTCCCTTCTGCCCTGCTAATAGCCAATGAGTAAGCCTGCTCTCAGAGCAAGGACAGTTCTGATGGTCGGAGCTGGCACACATGCTCTTACAAAGCTGCCGGTTGCTGCTCGTGCGCCGCATGCAGAGACAGGAAACTGGAAATCTGAAGTGAGGGTCATCGTGCTACATGCTGCTGCAAACTTTGCAACTGCATAAAGGAACACAGGTAACTTGAAGGACCCCGCCCTCTTTGAGCACTGAGGCTTTGAGCATCGAACAGGATTTAAGTGATGCCCATTTCCCATGCACTCGAGGCCTGCGGTGGGCATCTTCCCTTTGCCGTACGGGTTCAGCTGAACCTGCATCAGCAATAGTTGTCACACCTTTGTAATAGCAAATAGGATCTCTTGTTTTTTTTGAGACATACCCTATTTCTGGGGGCAGGGCTCTTCAGAAGTACGCCTGGGTGCCATTCTTCTTCTGCGGCTGCGGGTATGGGATGTACAGGCCTGTTACGCACTTGGACCTGGAACCCCAAAGGTGCGCACATGAACATTGAATAGCTTATCTTTAAGAAATATACGCTGGAGGTCATTGCATCCTTTTAGCTGTGCCATCTCGGAAAAATGGCTTGGCTCTCTGAGAAAGATTTTGCCAACTAGTTGGGAGCTTTGGGGTTTAGCTTTAGGGGTTAGCGTCTAGGGAGCTTAGGGTTAAGTAGCCAAGGTGAGAGCTAAAAAAGCAGGGTCCACCGAATGAACATAGAGTCCTCAAAATAGGGCCGCGAAGCAGCCTCATAAATCACCGACACCTTTGTATTTCTGCAAATGATGGAGGTGTCCTTCTCATTTTCTGGGACCTGTATGCCGCGGATTTCAGCAAACCCAAAGTCTGCGTAATTTTGAGAGGTACACATTTCGAGAGGGCCTGCGTTGTGTAAAAAACGCACCTTGGAGAATACAGCAACCCTGGTCCAGCAACCCTGTGTAAAATGACTTTTCCAGAAGGTTGCAACAGAAATAAGCAACAAACATGGGGCACAGCTCCTTCAGTGTTCCTTCTTGGGCTTCTGTACTCTTCCATTGATCTGCCTCTCCGCTGCCTAAAGAGACTCAAACTCCCTGTATCCCCCGAAACCCGAAACCTAAACCCTTACCCCACACGCCACCTGAACGCCCAAAGCACAAAGCGCTGCACAAAGGTCCGCCCACCTTCAGCTGGCTTGCTTGGAGGCTCAGGGGGGTTTAGGGCTTAGGGATTTAAGGGTTTGGTTTCAAGCTTGTGCTTAGGGCTCAGGGCGTGTAGCGCAGCCTTAGCGTTTGGTGGCTTTAGGGTTTCGATCAAGTTTCTTGCGGGAGGTCAAGAAGAAGGTAATGGCACCTTCATCTTCAGGGGTTGGGCTTGCGAGAGCAGAGCTGCATTGCAGGTCAGTCGGACAGGAATATGAGTTGCTTGACATCAGAAGGAATTTTGCCGCCAGGAGTTGACACTGCAAGGATCCTATCCATGAGAGGACGTTATAATAAGCGTCCGACATGTGGCAGTGTAAGTTGACCCCACCCTCCACAAGGAGCAATTTGTGACCAGTGGTGCTCCATGATTTGTATTCTGCACTCACAAGATGATTTCCGTTGACCCTGAAGAAATTTTAAGTGGATTGCCTCGTTGGCACCGGTAAGACTTAAGACTACTTACTTGGTTATCCAGAACATTATTCAGAATACCCTTTACATTACCATTGTTATCATGATTATTCTTATTGCTGCCCAACCACACAAACAGACCTGAACATAAACGCTCCGGCCCTTGCAGCAAGGGCCAACCAACTAGCACATCAGGAGTAGATCTTGTAATGTGCATATGATCCACCTGGTTATCTTAGAGATGCACCGTCCCCATATCTCCCATACTTCCTGCGTGGCAACCTGCTCCCCCTGCTTCGCCCTTAGAGCCCCAAGCTTTGTACACCCAATTTCAGGCGAGGCACTGTGTGTACTCACCCAGGCTCCATACTCGCTTCACCTGGAGCTAGCCCCACATTTTATCACAATCCGTTGTGGAAAGGGCACTTACTCAGCGGCCCTTACAGTTCTCGGGTGCCTTACAGGAGATGCATGCAGCAATTGTAGAGGGACGTCCTGATGAGTCTCCAACTGGCTATGGCCAGGATCAGCAAGGTTGACCCCTGGGGCGGTTCAGGCTGTGGGGTGCTGTGGTCCTTTGGCAGAAAACTCTGCAACATCTTGGATCATGCCGGCATGCTGACTTCTGTCCGGGAGCTTTAGTGAAGCACTGAGCACACCCACAGCCACTATTATAAGAGTAAGACTAGTAAGAAGCGTCATATGATCAAGACTAACAATAAGAATCATATTATTGCAAAGAGCTCTGAAACCGCTATGCAGACCTGTCCTCAGGCCCACACGCTCTTAAGCATACGAACCACAAAGCAGCAAACCCGGCAAGCCCAGACTCCAAGCGTCAAAATAGCGGAGAATTTCAGGTCCAGGCCGCAATATGAGGGGTATAAAGGCCCTTTGAACTCCATATCTAAGGGCGATTTCTGGCTGGAGGATTGAAACGTAAGCCTTGACATAAGCCAGTAATCTCAATAAAGGTTGCATTTGCGATCTTCGTCGTGGTGAAAGATTGAAAAACTACCCAGGTAGCCCCAAATTAAACTTCGAACCCATAGCCTGAACCCTCACTCCTTAATTTGGTGACAACTGGGCGGCCCATCTATAACACACCCAAAATACCACGATCCTGTTGTTGGACCCTAAGCCCTAGTTCCTAAACCCTAAAGCCCAAACCCCAAACCCACCCCCTCGACCCTAAACCCCAAACCCAAAACCCTCTCCAGCTCCGAGCCATGCACCCCGAAGTGGAGGTAGGCTGCTTGTGGCCACACCAGAGCAAAGGGCATCTCGCGGCCTCCTGATTCCGCTTCATGGGATTTTGGGGTTCTGGGCTTAGGATCTGCAAGGTTTAGGAGTTTGGGTTTAGGGCTTAGGGTTTAGTATTCTGAGGCTTGAGGGCTTAGGCTTCAGAGGGTTTTGGGGTTCTGGATGGGTTTTGGAATTCGACTTCGGGATCCCTGGAGTTTAGGCTTCATAGATGAGGCTTCCGGGTTCATAGGGCTTACGGCTGACGGCTAAGGATTCTGGGTCTAGCGCCGCTTCGGGATTTACTGACCGCTGTGCCAGCAATTGCGAAGGTGATGAAGAATACCAGCACCAATTTGTCTGCGCCTTCTCTCTCTCCCACAAGTCGTGCTGCCAGTAATTACCACTGCTGATGAATTAGATGAGAACCACGGGCCTATGGGATATTTCCCTTCATGTCATAACTGCATTACCGCCCTAACCCTCTTATGCCCAAACCAATTGCCGAAGCCTGGAGTCTGACTTCCCCAACCCCCCGGCCTGCGCTGATCGGAAGCAGGGAAGGCCCCACGCGCATCAGGCTGGACAGCCAAGCCTGTAGGGATCCTTGTTTGTTTTAGGGTTGAAGGTTGAGGGTTCATGTGGCACTTTTCCCTACCCCAACCTCTTTCCTTCTTGGGATGGTACCTATAGTTTATAATTGTATGTTCCTTATTGGGCTATAATATAACAAGAGAGTAGCATTGTATTCAACAGTGACCCAGCACAGCGAGAACACAACATGGAACCTCATGTAGTCTCTACTTTGACGTCTAGTCGCCTACAACTCCAGGTTTGTTTAAGGGGGTGTAACATGTCTACACAGCTGGGTAAACACAATGCCTGCTCTCAGAGACATCTATATGGAGTTGACAGATTCTTATTGAATGGAATTGGCTGCTGGCTTGACTTGGTAGTCAAACTCCTGGTTTACACTGGGTGCCCAAGTGATTTGTGACTACTTCGCGCTGGTGTACTTCTCCTTCTCGGCGAGTGTGCAATCCAGGTCTGGCTGACATGACAAACGGTCCCTTCCAACCCCCTACCTGTGAAACCCGGTCCATGCCTCAAACCTTTAGTTTGCTGGGTTGCTGTTAAGGAACTTAAATTGAGTTACTGTATTGGGGAAACCCTATTATTTACTATATATACCCATTATGGTAACTTGATTTAAGTCCCTTAACAGCAACCCAGTTTGTGCCCATATTGCTAGTATTCCCTCCAAACCCTAAACCATCAGGCTCACAGGACAGGTGCCAGAATAACAGAATTAAGTACCAGTCGCCCCGAAACTCCTGCGTCCTACACCCCCAACAAACCGTAAACCCTAAACCCTAAACCCAAAACCAAGGTTCAGGGTACGCCCGACCCCCACGCACAACAGTCAGCACTTCACGGAGGCCTCCAACCGCGAACAGATGCGGTTTCGCATGAACTGCACCTGTCACAGTCCCAAAATCCCGGCTTAGGGTTTAGGGAACCCCTAAACAATCCCCTGACTTTCAAAATAGAAACAAGATTGCAGCTGGCAGAACCTAGCGATTTTAACTGGGGGAAGCCGAAAGGCTAGGACTTCAGGTCTTTTTGAGGCTTAGGCTCTAAAGCCTGAAGTTGCCCTTACGTAGACAGCATCTTCGAGATAGGTGAAACATGTGCGACCTCCAATTACGGTCCACGTCCGAAACCTTCAACCCGAGACCCTTTGGCAACAAACCTCTTGGTCAGGAAATGGAACGGCTCAGTCTGAAACATGGAGTCTTCCGTATCGGAGTTTGCCAAATTACCTGACCGTAAACCCTAAACCCATAGAGTCCTTAGTAGAGACCCCGAGAATCCCTTTCTAGTTCTGCTATCCCTGAGCTGTGTGACGGGCACCTGTTTTGATGCCTGGTCCCCTGCTCAGGAATAGCCAAACATCAGCCAAAATGCCTTCCTTACGAACTTAATCTTACTGGGGGTTAGTAGGAATCTGTTATATAGGGATTATATTCCCTATTTCCCTACAAACCACCAGCAGGCAGCCATGCAACATGGACAAAGCCTCTACTTTGTCCCAGATGAGCTGTAGCTTCGGCAGTGTTAAGGCAGGGGAGGTTTTCTTGCGTGTTGTGTAAATAAACATACCCAAGATGAGTTTAGGGCCTCGGGTTGAGGGTTTAGGTTGTTCCTTGTTCGGGGCCTACTACAAAACGCCATATAGGGGTACGGACCCAAAAAGGTGAGAATAAACTTGACAACCCCCATCTGGTGTTCACCATCTGGCTTGTATAAGGTTGTTACCCATAACTTCATGAACAGCTTGGTCCAGGAGCGCCTGAATCTTGTTGCTGAGAAGCCTGCAAGCAACCGACATGCGGCAGGTGGCTCACGCGCAAAGCTTAGTGATCCCTTACCCCGACTGGTGAGAAGAAGGGTGTCTGCAGACGGAATGGAGAGTTTTTGTACTTAGGCCTCAGGACTTTTGGCTGCAATGGGTGCTGATGGATGTTGCAAAGGGATTAACATGGAATGAACTAAGGCCAACTTGAAGATATGATGGGTCCAGGCCATTTGGTCTTAGGTTTAGAGATCTCCAAGATGTCTGGTACACGCCCTTGCAGCTTGGTTTGCATTGTGGCATGGGATAACGAGTGGCAGAATTTGGAAGAATATCCTTACGCATGCCGCATGCCTGCGTGGGCCTGGTTCAAGGCTTTCAACTCCTAGTTTTTCTAATGAGGCTTGCAAGATACGGAAGGGTTTCTGACATGGTGGTGATGGCCTCAGGAAATGTGGGGTAGAGTAGGGCAGCTTTCCGGAGCCAGGCGTCACCCCAATGTCTTTCCTCAAAGGTCCCCCCCCTAACCCTCAACCCTTGATCCTAAACTTTATACTCGCATGAAACGGACAAAGCAATACCACGCCTCAGTGCAGAGGAAAATCAGCTTCAACGATAGAGACTATTTGCACAGTTGACCTTGCTGTTGCTTCATGACCCCCACAACTCTACCAGTAACCCCAAGTACCTAATTGCAGTTCTATGGCTTAGACCGACCGACTATGACTAAACTGTAGGCAATTGGGGCTACAGGGGCGCCTTAAACTCTAAACTGGGATATAAGGAATATCATCCCTGTGCAATACTCACATAATATATTCCCTACTAAGCGCCAGGAAGCTAAACTCTAAATTGTGTGAGCCTCGCGAAAGCTTCCTCTGCGTGACCCAGTGCTGTTGTCAAGACCTGGCTTTGCTAAAACGGTTCTTAGTTGGGAGTATGGAAATTCTATAAAACCTTGAAAAGTATGTAACATAATAGCCCTAAAACCAGAATAGCAGCCATAAAAGCCATTATTTTACATAGTGTTGGGGTCCAGGTATACCATATAAGGCTTTATCGGGACTACATTTCCTTATTCCCTACTAAGAATCAATAAGTTTGGGACTTGGGGGCTTTCAAGGATTGGGCAGGGGGTTCTTGTCATCCCCATGCTGGTATATTGGGGCGTATCTCAATATACTGCTAATTATGTCTTGGTGTACAGCAGGGGCCTTTGTGGAGTGGTATGTTGGGGAGTATAAGAGGGCCCCCCAATATTTTGGACATGCCCATTTTGACACTGCGGCGCTGTTTCTCGGACGCGGAAACAGAGGAGTGGAAGTTCGATTAGAGACATCCCTAAACCCTAAACCCTACATAACCCCACGATAGTAGTTTCCATTTTCTTTTGCATTCTCTCTATAAGTCTCGAGTGCCTTAAGGTGTGGATGGTTTACAGAAGAAAGTACGATGCATCCGAGATACGAGGTCATGGAGATGCAAGTGCATGATTTGAGGGTCCACGCATGCGTGTCATTCGTTTTTGGGGGATAGGGCACAGCGCTCTGAGAAAGATAGGCAATTAGGTCTTTGATATCCCCAAGAGGCACATTACAGACATCAAGCTACACATGCTCTCTTCCCTATCCAGTATCCAGATGCCTGGTTACAGCGCCTAGGCCCCAAACCATAAATCCTACTAGCCCTAAACCTCAAACCTAAACCCTGTACCCTAAGCACCAGGCTGCTACATCTTAAGAGACAGCAAGGTCACCTGCTGCTGCGGGTGATTGGCCAGCTTGAGTTTTGCCTCGCAGGACAGAAAATCTACCAGTGCTGAAGGGGGGAATATAGGTACGATTCCAGGGGATTATGTTGGGATGTGGGTACCACTCAAGGGGATTATTATACAGGGATATAGGTAATTACCAGTAAAGGGCGTTATAATATTATCATGGGGATTTACTCCCCCACTCTCCCTATAGCACCAGTAAGTCAAGGGGGAGCGGGGGAGGGAATATAGGGACTATTACATGGGAGTATATCGGTTTTATATGAGGGATCAACTTCCCCCACTCCTCCTCAAGCACCCGTAAAACAAGCGTGGGGAATGAAAGATTTTGGGATGCTTCGGTGTTGAGAACAATGGGGTGGGGAGGTGAATCGTTGAAATTTCAAGCCTCAACCCAAACCCTATGCCCCTCAAAAACCCTCAATCATAGACCCTAGTCTAAATCCAAAACACGAACCCCTAAACCCTGCTCATCCCATGAGGGGTACCCTGAGGTGGAAGACCCTCGAGGTCCATCTCAGGAACCTCTTCCCAAAGGCTCCATGTAGCTATATATAGTATATACTTAGGGCCCAAACAGGTTCCCATATCACCACTTTAGGGCCCAAATATATACCATATAGCTACATGGAGCCTTTGGGTTTGCCAGCTCCAGCCCCCCACAGTTGTTTCATGCTTTCGCATGGGGAAGAGACCTGACATCTTACGGCAGCATCCATGCTTTCGGCCCAGAAAAAGAGCCCCAAAACTTGTATATGCGAAAGCCTGGACAATTCGGAAGGTTTCCCCCTACAATCTCTATACTAAGACCTATTCAGGCCCTACAATGCTACGATACAAACCTGCCATGATATCACGCCTTGCGCACTGCGTCCCGCGCAGCCAACTGCAAAGCAGTGTTGCGGGTCAGGGTAATCCCGTTTACTTGCGTACTTTTTTAGGCCAAAACTGTTGTGCATCTAAATCCGTTTTCCGGACTGGGATTCATATGATAGAAACGAAAAAATATTTTCAACAATGGCCGAGTTCAGGAAGTGGCAGTGTTTGGGGAATGTACAGTTTGCGTTCGAACGCCCATTGAAGGTTTTGGTTCTCGGTACAGGTATCCCACAGTGCAGAACCAACCTCAAAAATGTGCGAACTTCTTATCCCTTGGCTCTGCCAACTAGATCTCTGCTGAAGCGTGTATACTGCAGCGCTTGTGAGATGGGTTCAAAGGCGCCTGAACTTTAAGGATCTGCTCGCTGTTTCTACTTCAGTGCTGAATGTTGGAGAATTCCCTCTCGCGTACAAGCATGGAAGCCCCCAAAAGGAACCTATAAAGATGACAGTCCTAAAACGCTGCCACCTGAGGTTCCATGTTTGTTTGGGGGAGGGTATGCCGTGAAGTTCAAGGCATATATGGCCTCTGGTCTGGATATTGCATTGCTGTGACCAAAACCCATGATGTGGCTGTAATGTGTGA